TACAAAAACACAAAGAAAGAGAAGGCAGGGAGCTGATGAAACCTGCAAACAAAGAGAGGTAAGAGAGATTGTATCCATGGGAAAAAAAAGAACAATTTTAAAAAATTCTTTTTAAAATCAAGAAAGAGCTCAGTTCTGGGAAATTAAAAATACAAAAATCGTAATGAAAATTCTGTAGAAGGGTTAGTAGATAAAATTTTTGAAATCTTCCTGCAAGACGAACAAAAAGACAAAGGTATGACAATTGGAAAGAAAAGATTTTTTTAAAAAGATAAGATCAGTCCGAAAGACTGCACATTTGCCTAATATGCTTCCAGAGAGAAGAAGCGGGGAATATAGAGGTGTAGGAACACGAAGTTCCAGATCGAAAGGACCCTCAAAGTGCCCAGAATAATACAATAAAAGAAATCCCTGCAAAGCACATCACTGTGAAACTGTAGATGACCAGAGAAGAGACCCTAAGAGCTTCCAGAGAAAGAAAAAACAAAACAGAGAAGAGGAACACCCTCTGACGTCTTGCAAGCACACTGCAAACTGCAACCCTATGTGGAAATGATTTCAACCTAGAATTCTGCACGCAGCTAAAGAATTAAGAGATTTTCAAACATAAAAATCTCAAAACATGTAACTCATATGCCCCCTTTCTTAGGAAACTATAATTGAAAGTGCTTTTCCTCCCTGGAGGCTTTCTCTGTTGCCCTGATCGGAATTCTCAGCTCCTCAATCCCAGAGCACGGTGTGTTCAGGCCGTTAGCGTCCTCACCCTGGAAGAGGACACGGGCCATGTCTGATCATTCCTGTACCCTCCCCAACGGCTGAGCCCAGTACCAAGGAAACAGAAAGGGCTCAAAAAGTGTCTTCTGAATCTTCCTCAGTCAGATATACATTCCAGATCTTCTCTGTCATGTAAAAAACATATCCCACAAGCAACAATTGCCCCTTTTCATACTGTAATAGAATTGTGTAAAACTGAAACATTCATGTGCCACAATTTGAGTGCATTGGTCTTGTTTTAGCAAAGCTTTTTAACATTATTTGTTTAGAGCCCGGGCAACTACAGTGTTGGTGCACTTTCTCTATAAAGGGCCAGATAATAAATATTTTCAGTTTTGCGGGCCACATGTCTCTTTTGGAACTACTCAGCTATGCCATTGTAAAGTGAAAGCAGCCACAGACGACACGGAAATGAACAGGCATCTCTGTGTTAAAAAAAACCCTCTATACTTACAAAAACCAGCAGCCTGGATTTGGCCGCATGCTGTCATCTGGATGACAGTATTGCCTTATTCCCACCATTTTTACAGGGAAGACGTTACTTAATAGCTGGACTCGGCACTAATAATGTGTTTTTTATACTTTTCTCTCTTAAATTATCCTCTCTCTGGAAGTTAAATCAAGACCCAGTGAAAAATCAAGATGGTGCTACGAGAGACCATTCCCTTTTCAGAATCCCCCTGGTTTAAAAACCCTGGCAGGGTACACCACCTTTCTCTACTTTAAATCTTAAGCTTCCTTTAGTTCTGATGAAACCACTTGCCCTTGGAAATTGTGGTCTCTGCTTTTCCAATCAAGGGTGGTTTAGGCCGCCTTCCAGAGCAAGTCCCATAAGACCGCCGCCACGGGGACCTGCTATTTGCTGATAGTGTCCACCTGAGCACTTCTGACAAGTGTTGTTTGGCTGCTTACGGTAGATTAAGAACAAGATCCTTTGTTTCCAAAAAAAAAATCAATGTTTGTTCTTAAGTTCAAAGAAAAGCAACTGTTCTACAGGGTGATATCAGGACATGGGCTACATTCCAGTTGCCAATTATCTGCAAACAGAGCAGAAGCGAAACCCACATCCACCCAGCAAGGGAAGTAGGCTCAGGATATCCCTTGGTCCAGAACCCCTCTGCCCAAGTCCAGCCTATTAAATTGATGGTTTTTAAGGAAGAAAAGAGTGTTTGCATCAAAATGAGAGTTCCCTGAAGTCACCCCCCCTGAGGAGCGGAGTCACACCAACCACTAGGCTTCCTATCAGCTACGAAGAAACCCAGAAACCAGCACTGATGGTTTTTCTAAGTGGATATGGCAGCTCCATTCAAGCCAATCACTGACCTGTCGTTAGAAAAAGGGAAAGAGAACAGAGGAAAACACCACCATCAAAGCCTAGAGGCTGGGGAGGATTCTGTCTGCCAAGTAGCAAAAATGTGTAACATTTTAAGTAACCTCTTAAGCAAAGAATATAAAAGCCTCTGCCAAAAAGCTTGTCTAGCACAGACCAGACATCAGCCCTGTCAGAAAATGCTTCTTGGTGAATGGAAGGGAGGATGTGCATCTAAAATAAACATTTTTGTGGGGCCTAGCCTCTCATCTCTGGGGTCCAGCAGTCTGCCATGGTACATGAGAACTATTTCTTTCCCAAGTCCAAATGTAGAAGCAGATACTAAATTGTGCTACCGTCCTCAGCCAGGACTAAGGTTTTCCTATAGGACTTCACTGCAGTGCTTTTAATTCTTAAAGACCCTTAAAACTGAGCACTAAGTTTTGGGGAGGACAGAACATGGAGGGAGGGAGAAAGGAAAGGAAGAATGGAAGGAAGGGAGGAAGGAAGAGAGGGAGGGAAAAACAAGCAGGGCAACAGAACTCAAGTGACCCTACAAGGAGACATGGAGAGAAGATGGGAGCTGACCCCAGGTAAACACTATTCCAGGTACCTCCGAACAATGCCAGCAAGGGACTCCCTGACAATAAGAAGACAGTATCTTGATACAGCAGAAATTTTTCCAGCTGGTACCTACAACTCCTCCAAAACAAATGCTCATTTAAAATGTGACTTCAAAGAGAAGAATCAAATTTGGGGAAGAAGCAATTCCAAATGGATGTTCTGCCTTAAGTGGCAGAATGAGTGGAGGCCTAGAAGACCCTTGAGGCTTTCTTTTAAAAGGACGTTTGTCATTGGGTTTAGGGCCCACCCTAAATCCAGGATGATCTCATCTTAAGATCTTAACTTAATTACATCTGCAGAGATCCTTTGTCTTTCCTTTTTTGGCATGTAAAACAGAGTTCATTATTTTTTAATAAAAATATACATGTGTATATGTATGTGAAATGATTACTACAGTCAAGCAAGTTAACACATCCATCTTCTCACAGTTACCTTTTTAATTTTAATATTTTTTTTTTTTTTTTTTTTGGTGAGAGTACCTGGAATCCATTACCTTAGCAAGTTTCCAGTATACAATGCAGTATTATTAACCAAGACCCTTTTTCCAAATAAGGTCACATTCACTGGTTCCAGGGACCAGAACTTGAACATATCTTTCTTGGGGCCCCTACTCAACCCACTACAGTCTCCAACAAACTAGAGGAGAAAATTAGTTCTTTATTTAAATTAACATGGACTGTGAACACTTCATTGTATTTGATTATTGAAAGACCCAAGATACTATCGAGTCAGAGGCTGGTGTCCTTGGACAAGTCACTAAGCCTTTCTGAGCCTCAACACCCTTATATGTAAAACAGGGACAAACTGCGCCCAGGCAGTTGTGTGGGCTGACAGTGATTCATTTAGAGTGCTTGCATCCCAACATCTTGTTCACAGGCCCTAATCTCCCATGGCTCTGAGGAAAATATACAAAAACCACTCCACAGGAAAGAGCATTCAGTTATTTCTTGATCCAACCATTTTTAGGGTGTGTCTTAAGTATACAGGGAAAAAAAAGAACAGATTAAGATGACAGGCTTGCCGAAGTTAGATAATGACCCGACCTGTGGGAAATTATGGACTTGGCATCATGAGACAATCCTGTCCTATTCCAGTGGGCACCCGTGGCCACAGTTCTCCAATTATCCCAAGAATCACCAACCTCATCATCACCCGTCTGTCACCACCGGCTCAGTCCCCAGGGCATGAGCCGCATCTTAATTACCTTTGCATCCCCGACACGCGGCACAGCGCCTGGCGCCTAAGGCACTGAATAAACGTTGATGGAATGAATAAAGACATGAGCCAGGGTATTCTGGAAACTTCAGCTCTGGAAATAAACAGTAACATGGTAACTACTCCTTACTGCAAGTCACGATGCTAAGTGCTCTCCCTCTATTGACTGGATTAAATAAGGTAATGTCCCTAACCATTTTGGGAAGGCTGGTGCCCCAGAAATGTTAGTGCTCATCGTCATGTATTTTAATCCTCATTCCAACTGAGAATGGAGGCATTCTTCTTCCCAAGTGACACAGCAGGGACTCCAGGAGAGAGAGGTGAAGTCACAGAGCTAATACCTGGCAGAGCCAGGATTTGTCAAACCTCAAAGACCTGTGTCCTTTCCCACCACATCACACTGCTCCTGATCCATATTAGTCAGCCTTTGCTTTAAGCTGGGCCCAGCTCACATATCTAGGGTCAGACTGCATATTACGGTGCATGTGTATGTGTATGTATTTATATATATATGTATACACATGTGCTATATATTTGTATACACACATAATACCTTAAATGAAGAAATAACCTGGACAGAACAGTGAACTGGACGACAGAGAGTCCCAGAGAATGTAGCGAATTATTAACACCTTGAGCTGCCAAGTTCCCAAATCATATTGTCAAGGGGTAAAGCGTCGCATGTTACACTTTGCCGAGCACATGAAAGCAACACATACGATGTTCTGTAAACTCCAGAGCCTCGTCCACAGGCTTATGACTTCCTGTCGAGTATCTTGTTTCTAACCCAACCACCCTACAGTGAAGAAAAAATGAACTGTGCTTAACATTCACATACCAATGCTTTTCTCGCCACCTACATTCCCAAAGAAAGCGACCAGGAAACGTGGCCGGGGGAATTAAAGAGCATCCTAGCCAGGAACTTACAGGAGGAATGGATGCTGGGGAAGCTTTTGCGGCCCTCGGACACCAGATCGGGGTCACCTGTGCAGTGCATTTCCGAGTTCATCACTCCATCTGGAAAGCAGCGGTAAAAGAAATCGGGGCGAGGTCTACAAAAGACACCATGGACATTTTCAATATAAAATGCTGCCATCGCAAAAGATCCCACGCTGACCCACCACACCCCGCTGTCCCCAGCACCTCCCTCGGCCCCCTTGGCATCAACACTGGAGCTCCCCACGGAGCACTCTAGACACGGTGGTTTGGGGGAGAGCTCAGGCTTTGAGGTCAGAAAGATCAGAGTCGGAGCTCCCACTTGCCACTTACTAGTTTTATGACCTTGGGAAGGTCACTTGCCTCCCCCAGCTTCGGTTTCCACATCTGTAAAAAGGGGAAACAAACACCTACCCAAAGGTGAGGTCCTGAGGATTAAGTGACAGGACTTACAGAAGGCACCTAAGCACAGCGCTGCTGCCTCCAGGAGCCAAGACTCCAGGCTCCTCATGGCCTGTGTCCTGAATTTGGGTGGCCACTGGCCGTTCCTCAGGTCTCACTCAGCCTCACTGAGAGGACGTGAAAGCTCAGCTCTGGGATGTGGACAGTCCCCCAGGTTGGCTGCTCTAGTCTAGGGCAGGGGAGGGAGACCCGGAGGGAAGAGGGGAGGGTGTGGGCCTGACTCTGAGCCACCCCGACAGTGATCGCGACTACCAGTGACTGAGCATTTACTGGGTCCCAGACACAGCACTAAGCACTGCACATTCATCATACAGTGTAATTCCCACGAGAACCCTGCAGCAGAGCCTGGGGCCGTTTTCGTTATACAGGCGCGAAAAGGCAGGCTTAGGAAAGTCACACTCCTGCCCAAGGTCATAAACAACCAGTAAGTGGCAAAGATGAGCTCTGAACTCGCCCACACGCTTCACTCCATACTTCACTGCCTCACTCACGTGAGGACCATCATGCAGGGGGGTGACAGTTGATCACTCCTTTTCAATTCAACTAATATTCACTCAACACCTACCACGGGTGAGGCTTTGCTAATGCTGTAAACATGGTGCCCTCTTTCTGGGCACCCCAGGTCACAGTTCGCATACACTGACTCACTGGTCCCCCGACTCTGGGATCTAGGTAGGGCCTAAAGAATCTGTCAGAGCTGCCAGTGCACTGTCTCTCCCACACTCGGCCAGCGTTTCTCCACTTGGTAGTTTGTCCACCTGCTGAACCAGAACCTCAGAGGGGCAAGGCCTGAGAATCAGCATTTTATCAGGGCCCCATGGTAATTGTAAGCACACAGAGCTGGAGGAACATGGCAGCACCAGGTCATGCACTGCCTGAGTTTTATCCATCCCCCATTCCCCTCGGTGCCTGACCAGCACCCTGCACCAAGTAGGTAAAATTAATGCTGAGGTTCTGAGAGGGGCTCTAACTTGTCCAAGGCCAACAGCTAATCAGAGTCAAAGTCAGCTCTTAAATTCGGGTCTCTGGACTGCTAATCTCTGCAGAGACCAGCTCTCCACCAGAGCAGTCCGAGAAGAAGGAAAGATACATGGGGAACAGAAATGATTTCTCAGGGGCAGTAAGGGAAATGTGCCACATGCCAAGGCTCAAATGCCAATCCATGTGACTCCTCCCAGAGAGAGCATTAAATAAGTAATCTATGTATTCATCAGAGGCCAAAACTGACAAGCGAGTGTGTCTGGTGAGGCCCTGGGGTGGCAGTGGATGGACCCAGAGATGCCAGCAGTGAACCTTGACCCACGGGAAAGTCAGTTGGATACGTCCTTATTACTGATCCCCTGCTTCCAAAGTAGTGAGTTCACAATTCAAAGGAGAGGAAAGATCTGTGCTAAGGACAGAAATCCCAGAAGAACAATTTAAGGAAAAAACCAGATGAGCTCAAATCTGTCCCAGCCAGTGTCTTCTGGCCAAAGTTCCTAAATAGACGACCTTGATAGTCCAAGTTTCCATTGTTTTCCTTTTGGAACTTACCTTCCCACTATTAATTTAATAGTGTTTGTGCAGACTCCGTTCAAAGCAAGAGCCAAGGACACCGCTACAAAACAAAACCAACAGACAGAAAAGTAATCAGCTGGCTCTCAAATCAAAATCATCATCATCATCATTATATTATAATATTATTTAATTAATGACCATAGAAATATGAACCAATACTTTAAAAACAGAGATAAGCTTGGGTTGTTAGAACAAAATATAATTAGGACAGAACTTTGGAGAATGACCCATAAAATTCCAAGCCCCTATGACATGAAATTGCTCTCTCCTCCTCGACTGAAATTTTTACCATCACAGGAACCCATCTATCACTTTCTGGCCTGATATGAAAAGATTTAATACTGCAGCATGTAAAATTTCTTTACTAGTAGCAAGAAGCATAACTTTTTTATTTCCTCCTGGCAACCTTTTCAGACATAATTCTAATCAGAGGAGCTGCTGGAATCCTGCTGCAGACCAGGACGTTCCCACTGGGCGATTATCTCATTACTGACCCACTGCCCTCCCACAGGGTCCATGTGTTGGTAAACAAATCACTGTTTCTGAGAAGGTAGAGTCCCAAAGCCTCCCTGGGTTTCGAGAAGGTTTGCCCAGGTGGTGCTTTTTGCCATCTAAAATAACAAGAACTTCTGGAATACATTAATATTATTTGAAAATATACAGCACAGGGACTTTCTCCAAGCAGCTTGGAAAGGCTTTGCTGGATGCAGTACAGATTGTCCAAAGGGTGCAGGTGACATGAGTCACACAGCTCTCCCTGCAAAATGCTTGCACCTCTCTCCTGTGGTTTATCAAGACTGCACAAAAGGCACAGTCATCACTATCAATGTGATGGAAGGTCAAATGCCTTCCTTTATTGCAGAAGCAATAAAGACCTATTGATGCCCCATTCCACTGCTTTGTTGAATAATAAAGCGTGGGAGCGACTGTTTCCCTTTGGCAAATATTAACAGTTCAATACTAGCTGAGATTTATGTAAGAAGATAGCAGTGAGGGGCATTTTTCAGAAGGAACTGCCTGGAGCAATTCATGGCCCATCAGGGGAGACAAATACGTTGTTCTCCAAGGGGAAAGTACTGCGGGGTGGCCAACACAGTCACTAAGGTCACAGGCCACAGAGATGGGGACAAAACCCACCTGCTTCTAACAAGTCATCAGAAGCAGAGAGAATAAGAGGGACCACATTCAAATGAACGCCTTTGTCATAGGGAAACAAATCACCTAAGCGGGGATGGGGAAACAACTGGCCGTATGAGTGTGGGAGTGAAGGGGGCTGGGCTGCAGAGCGGGAGGACAGAGCAGGAGTCAGCTCTCGGCACTGCCATCAAAGCACCGAGCAGACAACGACGCTGCACAAATTGGAACTACGTGTGGAGGACTCGGAAAGATCCACTGATTGCACTGTGCACACACAGAGCCTTCCTTCCTCCCTTCTCTCGGGCAAGCTCAGGGCACTATTGAGAGGCCTGTGTTGCAGAGAGGAGAGAAAATTCCCTGGGCTGTCTTGGCATGACGATTACCAGGCTGTGAGAATGCCCTGAGATGACTGTGGTCTTCTCTGTGTTACGGTTGGCCCGGCAGGCTCTTCCTCACCCTGGTCCTCTCTGGGAATAAGCAACACTAGCTGATCCCCCCTCACCCCACGTAAATCTTGGTGAACTTCATACACAGCTACAGCGATCACTTCCCCAACCTCTGAGTCTGCTTATCGTAGCACAGAGTAGTTCCTCCAAAAGTCTGAGGTAGCTGAGCTAGAAAATGTGTGGATGTGACGTAACCACCAACAGCCGGCAACTTCCGTCTCCGATCCAAATGCCTAGGCGAACAGGGCAGGGTGGGAAAGGGTGATGATATTTAATAGGGACGTCATTTCAGCATTCTGGAGGTACACTGAACTGATTAATATTTTCCCCTGAATAGCACAACCCACCGATGCAAGGGCTTGTCACTGATGCCAGAGAGAAGGCTGTGTGGGGACCAGACCCTTAAAGGCTGGACAAGCGGGAAAAGGAACGGCCCCATCGGGAGCACTTGTTGATTAGCAATATCCCAGGGGGCTGGCCCATAGGGCTGATTTTACAGCATCCTACAGCACTGTGCGTTTGCGAGAAGAGTCGGAGAGACAGACAAGATCGTGTTTGATAAAGAAATTCAAAGCAACGTGTCCCGCGAGCTGGCTTGCAAGCAGCCAGTTTTGAGGGCACTACTGGTTGTAAGTATTCCCGAGGATTAGAGGGCTTTCGTTGTTGCTTTGTTGTGGTCGGAACTTCAATCCTGCAGTACTTTTATAACAGCGTTCTCTAGTATGCAGACCTGATTGCTCTGCGGCCTGGATTCCTAAAAGCCTGATGTCGCATCGGGCAAACCTCGCTCCTCTCACCCAGCACCAGACGCACAAACGTGGCCCCTGTGCACATGCACATAAAGGGGGCCCTTGGGGTGCAGGTTTGGGCCTGGGTCAAAGTCTGCTGAAGACACCTGCATGAAGAAGGGACCTGAGAACTAAACCCTCCTCGCTGGGAAAGTCCTGCATTCCAGACAACTTTGCAAAATCTATACCTAGTTTTCTGTCCTTGGTTTTTAAAGATCACTTCCCTACCACCTACTTCCAAAGCCTCCTAAAAGCAGTGATTTTTTTTTTTAAAGCTTTCTACACATGGGAGGCTCTTCATCATTTTTATAGGGCAGGCTCTCATTTATTTAGGCAAACAGAACATCCAATAACTCCGCCTTCTCTGTTAACATATAGGAGACAGAGTATGATGTTCAATTTTGAAATATCACCCCAAGGGAGATTTAGCTGGGAATGAATAGTCTAGAGGAAGTAACCGTGGGCTGCTTACTGCCATGACAACAGCCTGGCTCCAAAGCCAGCCGTCAATTACGGCCATCACCATGAAAGACAGTTCGTACCCACAGCCACTTATCTTGGGACTCCGTGCCAGGGGAACCACGAAATAAAGAATGAAGCAGAGGGGTTTCCAGGTCAACTGGGAGGGCTCCCAACAGGACATATTGGGGACCACAGTGATATCCACCCAAACACTGCCTGGCTGCTCTAGCCACCTGTGGGAGGACATCTATGCCCCTCTTGGAGAAACTGATCTTTTCTCAACTCAGCTGAGGAGAGCAAGACTGTGTGAGCAAAACCCCAAACCACAGATGAGTAACCTGGGCTACACACCTCACCTGAGTGGGGGCATCTACAGGCTGGGCAGAGACTCACGACTTCTGTGTCCAGGCTGGAGAAACGAGCTGAGTCAGAGTCTCTGTCCAGAAAGTCTGGACCGAGAAACACGGTGACACTTGGTGGTGGGCATCAAAGCTGAACAGGCAGATCTGGGGCAGAAGTAACCAGCCCTGCAAGCCCAAGCCTCATACAGACCAGAGATATGGGGCAGCAGAAACAAAGTCCAGGCAGATGGGGCTGAGAGTGTGGGAAGAGGGAAGGCACGTTACAGGTGGAGGTTGTGAGTCAAGAGGGGGTCTCCAGTCCCGATGGCCCAGCTCCCCGTTCCAGCCCCCGTGAGGCACCTCTGGACTTCTGTTCCCTATTCGTGGATTCAGTGCGATTGCTTATTATTGCCCTATAATTAAACCCCTGATTTATTTGAGCTAACTTGAGAGGAATTCTGTTCTTTTCAACTAGACAGGGCCTGGCTGAAGCCTGGTTTTGTAAGAAACATTCTCTGTGCTGTTGCAGGGCAGAAGATTCCATACACCCTACACACACTCACACTCACTCCCTCACCAAGAAAACAGAGGACCACACTTTGCTACATTTTCATTGCCTCAAAGCCTAATGACTAACAAACAGACCCTTAAGTGAGGACTTTCATTTTTCCAGATTTACTACCTCGGTGAATGGGAAGTCCATACAATGCACCAAAAATAAAATTTGGGGTGAGGATCTGGGTGGCTTTTATGTGAGGTGTCAAAAAATCAACCTAATTCAGTTTTCCATATGATCATAAAGCTGAAAACTTGCCTACAGGTTAATTTATTGTGGTTGCTAAACAAGTCAAATAGTTTTGGCTGTCCCTTAATACTGTCATTTACTCAGCATTTGATTAATATGCAGACCATAAAAACAGACTGAATCCTAAAATGTCAAAACCCTGTCACATGCAGGCATGGCTCGGCCTGGGGAGAATTTATAACAGTGGTGTTATAATCAGTGACAAAGATTGAAGCACACTTCATGTAGTAATACAGTTCGCTTCAGTTTGCTTAACTGCCAAAATGTTCTCAAATTGAAGATGAGTTACGGAGTGTTTTCCAATTTCTATTTTATTTTATACATGGGTTTTGCCTGTAATCAACGGTACTTGGTTAAGCAGTCCCGCGGTTGATTTCTGTATTGCCCACGATGGGGGCTGATCAGACACAAATGTGAGATTTGGACAGTCAGTGGTGGCGAATTTGCTCTGCCCCACCGCCAAGAGCTACCCTGCCTCTGTGCCTGCGCAGCATAGCTCTCTGATGTGGATAGGACGTGATTAACATTCAGCACAACGGACAGCGACAACAGGCGGCCTCTGAAGATTCCTCACTTAGGACTGCACACCGGCTCTTCCTCTGGCTTAAAGTTTATGCTGTCTTGTTTCTCCCAAGCTTAATTCGACCAAAAGAAGAACACATTGGGTGCGACTGAGTTTTTTTAATGTGATAATCTCATTCAGTTCAGCCCCGTTCCCTAAAGCAGGAACTGTGAATACTCTACCTAAGAAGGCTTCCTTAATTTCAGTCTTGTCAGTCCGCCGGATAATTTTCACCACACAAATAACAGCCAGGGGTGTGAGGAAAGAAATTGCCTGGAAGAAATAACAAACAATCCCTTATGAGGACCTCGGTTTGCTGGCAGAAGGGCTGATTGATAATTAGTTGCAGTTAGCTTCATCTAGACTCACTAGCTGCGTGCTCTTACCAAACTCCTGACCTCAAAAGGAAAAAGGATGAATAATCCTATCTATACCCAGAGACTACACAGACTTCATAAATTGAAGGTCTGATTATAGGTTATAATTGGTTTGTAATTGCTGGGAGCCATGTATAAAGTGGTGGCTTTTTAAATGGAGAAGAATGGTCTATAATTAGGATGAGTCATCTTTGCCAGGAACTCCCCTCCCCCTCTCCTCTGCGAAAGGGTGAAAGAACCTTTGGCCTCCCGTTCCCATCTCTCTGGCAACACGCACGCATGTGGGACTTACTTAAAGTCAATCAGTTCATTGCCTTTTGGTGTCCTTTTGTCGAATACGTATTTCTTCTGCAAAGCAGAGGTTAGTCCTTTTGCATAAAGTCTCTTCTCCCCCAGCCCCTTTCCTCCACACAGAGACTCAACACTCACAGAATGAATTAAGCTGGTGGCATTTAGATGCAACCAACACTCCTTACAAAACCCACTAAGAGGCAGGAACCGTGCGAGGTACCATCAAGTCCAGGAGCCTCTCAAACCCTCACGATGGCTCCATGACTGTCTCCTCCAGGCTCAAGGACTAAGTGATGTGCCCAGAGACACACACAAGGCTTTGGAGATTAGGTTTTCTGCCCCCCATAATGAGTCTTTATTCCAGATCTCCATAATTAGTAAGCTGTTTTTAAACATTCCAGCAACCAAGAAAAAGGTATTGATGTTACTTCCTTATGATGATACCTTCTCAGGATATCAATATGGGAAGAAACTGAGCATCTCACAAACCCACACTGGCCCAGCAGTCAGTGGTGGGAGGGGTTGGGAATGGTAACTATTATCCAAATACTGTTGACGCTTCTGGAAATCCTCATCTCTGCTCTAATGAAACGCCACTTCCCAGAGAGCAGCTTCCTGATGGGACTAAGACATGAATGAAAGATGCTTTTCTTTTATAGAAACAGAATTCAACCAAATGAACAAAAGCTTTTGAAATAATTTTACATGCTCTACACACTTACTACAACCAGACCACCGGAGCTCGAATCATCTCGGGGGACTCCTCTTTGGAAACTGTCTTCAGAGACAGACAGTTTATGAGACACAAAAAAGAACCCTGTCTCCTTACTTGCCACTGTGTCTTTCTGACCCCAAAGCGTAGTGACCAGTCTGATGAGCCTCCTTATCAGCGGTGGCTCTGAATGACTTGGACTGTTTAGAAGTCAAATAAGCGAGTCTCGTCACCATGGAGGGTGTTCAGAGGCAAACGGCACGGGTGCTACGGGCAGATGCAGGAGAGGAGGCTCAGAACTGAGACAGAAGAAGCAGAGAATTTCCCCAGGGGCTACCCGGAAAGGCAACACTCACTGCTGAGTTAGAAGTTCCAATACATCCGTGAAAGCTTCCACAAGTTCCCAGGTGGCTCTCATATCTAAATCACAGTGGGACTTGTTAAAATGCCGATTCCCTCAAATATACTTCTATGGCAGGTCTGGGAATCTATATTTTTTAACAGCATCTCACTGGCACTGGGGATGAGCATCATTGCTTCAGAGATTTGACTCACACGTTCAGGACTTACAGAGCAACGACCGAAGCACCCTGCTCACTTAAGTCCACTGTTAAGGTCAAGGCCAGAGAAGTCCTTGTTTCCCCAAATCCAAACATCAAGCCTACCAGCCTCGCTCCCTCTTTTCTGCTTCTTTAAGCACCACGTACAGACCAGGCCACAGGCTCCCAAATAGAGGAAAGCGACTCACTCACCAAATAGTGAACAGCCCTGTTACGGCCCTACCAAGTCAACCCTTACATAAGAGAACAACATAGAACTAGAGAAAACATCATAAGACAATCACAGTTGATTTAATATAAGGTAAGACAGAAATAAAACCCCAGAAAAAAATATGAGGTGGGAACACTTTCCTGACGAGGCTCCCAAAGGAAATCCCAGAGCAAAAAGGCACTGACCCAACAGGAGGTGGGGCCGCCAGGTGGGAGCCTCAGGGCAGGGCGAGGTGTGGGAGCCCAGCTGGTCGCCTGGCAGCCTGGGGTCTCCCTGAGCACCACTCCCTGCCTCAGCTCACCTGCTCCTATTGGATCCTCACTCCCACTCCCCCAACAAGACTGGACTTAATTTAACCCTTTTTACAACTTTCCCAGGTAGGTGCATATTGGTTTCTTTTCTAGACCCACTGATCAATTGCTTTTTGAGCTAATGGTAAAAACCCGGAAGGGCTCACAGCGCCCCACCTCAAGAGCTTCTCAGGCAAGGGAACGCAGCCTTCGAAGCGCCGCAGCTCCCACCCCAGCGCGGCTGTAACAGACACGCATGTGTGAGTGTGCGACTAAATGCTTGCGTGATGCAGCTTTCTCTCCCGGCCCCCACATCCCAGCAGCATCTGGGCCTTGGTATCATTTGTTCTTGTTGGAAACACATCTACCGTACCTCTGGGCATCAGAGTCCTCAAATAAGGACAGATAAAGGCATGTTTACATTTATCATCCACCCGCTGTTGGATGAGTATTTTTTAACTAAAAATTGGAATGAAGAGATGAATCCCAGAAGCCAACACACGAGGAAAACAACTTCCTCCTGGAGCAAAAGCACCTCTGAAGTGAGTGAGAGAGGAACGAGAAGAGAACAAGCACCCACTGTCACTCAGCAAAGCAGGCTGAGTCGAAGCCAGGGCATATGCCTTCCGCTCCTCGGACGGGCCAGGGGAGGACATGAAGATGGACAGAGGAACCTGGAGGTGGGGTGGTCGCTTCTACCTCCACACAGGCGCAGAGATGGAAGACAGAGACGGGCAGGCAAAACTTCCCCTGCTATTGTTTTCCTCTCTGCTAATGTTTCCATGGCGAAAAAAGTTTGAAAATCCTGGGATGAACCCATGTAGGAAGACAGTGAGTGGCCATGCTTATTAAATGGGACCAGAGAGAAAACAATGAATCCCAGCCAGACACTGCTGCAGGATTCAGGGAACACAGTGCACCCTCTCTGGGCTTGAGTGTTGCTCCCTTGGTATGAGTACAGAGCTGCCGAATGCATGCACCTAGATTAGAGTATCAAAGGCTAACTGTGCTGAGACCTGACTATGGACCATGGTCTGTTCTGGGCACCTCACGCAAATCAACTCATTCAATCCTCACAGCAACCCTAGGTGAAATAGGCTCCTTACTTAATGGACAGGAAACTAAAGCACAGAGAAGTTAAGCAACCTGCTGTAAGTCACACAGTTCGTAAGTGGTCAAGTGAGGATTTGTACCCAGGCTGTTTAAATTAACCACATTTTTAACCTGCACTTTTAACCACAATGTTGGGGAAGTTCTCATCTTACAAAGTAAATATTACATAAAACATGCTATATGCCTGTTCTCTTGAGTTGGAGGGAAAAGGTAAGGAGGCTGGTTTCCAGGACGTGGATAAGTCATAGAAATGTTAGTGACAGCTATGGCTTAAGCACCTATTGTGTATTAAGGACTTTCTAATCCCTAATCTTTTTCTAAGCTTCTGATTACTCTGTTGGGGGAAATACTATCCCCATTGTACAGATAACAAAACTGAAGCTCAGAAAGAGAGAAGTGAACACACAAAGGTACACAGCCAGTGGAACTGGGACTCCCCCAGACTGGGCTGCCATGCTCCTGGCTTAGAGTCATGACAGATGGGAAAACTGTGGCTGGGATAGATTTATGTATTGAACATTTTTTAAATGGCTAATTGTACTACACGGCACCCACATAGTGAGATGACGTGTATATCATTAAGCAGGGTCTGGTACACGGCTGGTTTTGCATGCTGCTTACTCCACAGGCTGGGAAGCTGGAGGTCTGTAAAGAATATGTGTGGAATAGACTCTGAGTAAGCAGAGCTGGGTTCAAGCCCCAGCTGTGACATTAACCATTCTGTGTCCTCAAGCAAGTCACTTAGCCTCTTCACCTTTGAGTCTCAGTTTCCTCATCTATACAATGGTTATAATAATAATATTATCCACAGCAAAGTATTGTTGCCAGGATTTAAATTCACTAATGGTTATTAAATGCTCCACACTAAGTGAGGTGTCTTAAGCCTGCCACCCCATTTGATGCTCTCAACACCCTGCAAGGGATGTGTCCTTAAAGCCCACCTTTTACAGATACAGAAAGCAAGGTCCTGAGAGGGGAGCTGACCTTCCAAATCTACACAGCTAGTAAGTGGCCAGGCTGGGAATTGATGTGAAGTGGCCCACTCTGGAGCCCACACCGACTGCCCACCAACGGCGTGCAACAGAGAGCTAGCGTCCAGCAAATGCTGGGTGTTGGCCAGTATTTATTATTTTTGGGAAAAGACTGTTAACAAAAGGCCCAAACTATACCAATAAAGGGGCATCAGGATCCTGTCACCAGCTAGATGGGATTAAAGCATTTTCAGTTCAAGCCCACCTGTGCCCTTAGATCTGAGGATTGAGCACCTTTGAGTGTAGGAAGGAGGCTAGGACAGGAACGAGGCTAATTCTCCCAGGCACCCTGATCGTACCCTAAGTGACCAACTAGGGCCCTACCTTGTGCCTCCACCAATGCCACCAACACAGCAGGGACTGTCACCCCCCAGCCACTGCTGCACCAGAAAGTGGGTCATCCCCGGTGCTGATGGGAGGCACTGAGCTGCCTGGCACGTGTCTGGGAGACAACAAAATGTGAAGCAGCGGATCTGATGGGGGAAGGGCGTGAGGATGCCAAGGACTTTTAACAACCAGGAGGGATGGAAGCCAGAGCAGCCCCGACGTCAGGAACTTAGCCAGAGAAAAGCCTGTCGCTGGGGTTCATTCACATCAGACAAAACAACGGGCCCAAAGTGCCTTAATTTCCAGCATTTGGCAGAGAGGTGTGCTGCAATGGGATTACAGAGACAACTTCGGGACAGGCAGACACCTGGAAAAGGCCTTGCCGCGGGTAAACAATTACATCCCGTCACAAAGGAAAGAGCTGTCTAGGACTTTTAAAAAGAGCCAAAAAATTAAACTGCCTGTCAAGAGCCCAGCTTTGTCTCCTTCTTTCCTCCACGCCCCCCGAAAAAATGACTTTATTTCTGTCTTCCTTACGAGCATCCTAGTCCAGAATAGAAAATGTGGCTGTCAGATCTTTCTCTCTCTGAGAATAGATCTTCTAGACATATCATGGCTGAAGCAAAAGGAGACAAGGGAAAGGGTAGGTCTCGGGTGGATTTCTTTTAAAAGCCAAGGAAAAGGCCGGGCGCGGTGGACAAGCCTGTAATCCTAGCACTCTGGGAGGCCGAGGCAGGCGGATTGTTTGAGCTCAGGAGTTCGAGACCGGCTTGAGCAAGAGTGAGACCCCGTCTCTACTAAAAATAGAAAGAAATTAGCTGGAAAACTAAATATATACAGAAAAAAAAATTAGCCGGTGGCACATGCCTGTAGTCCCAGCTACTCGGGAGGCTGAGGCAGAAGGATTACTTGAGCCCAGGAGTTTGAGGTTGCCGTGGCACTCTAGCGCAGGCAACACAGTGAGACTTTGTCTCAAAAAATAAAAATAATAAAAGCCAAAGAAAGAATCTGTGGAACACCTGTCCCTTCTTCAGCTCCCTGCTTGAGTCTTACCTCTTCTTCAAAGGCTCCCCAGCCATGCTGAACTGCCCAGTCTGTGTTCCTGTCTGTGCCCCCGGCCAGACTAGACACCTTCCCTTATTCAGTGCTGGACCCCCACCAGGCACCTGGCACCTGGCACCTGGCACCATGCTTTGCCATGGCAGGTGTTTCTGGACTGTTGCATCAGGTCGTAATTAACTAACCGGAAGCTGTCCTCTGTCTGGCTCTATTCCTGCCTCCTTCTGCCCCTTCACCCCACAGATGCACCAAACTCTTATTCACTGGGTCTACACAGCCCTTGCTCTCCATGTCTGTCCCTTTACACACTTCTTCACCTCGTGGAGGCCCCAAGGAGCCATCGCTGCAGCACAGCTCCCGCGGGGTGGAGGGGGGGGTCTGCATTTACCACCAGCGGTCCAATCCTGGCCCAGCCACCGATGGTTGTGTGACCAATCTCATTAGTTTCATTTTCTCCACTGAAATGATGAGGTTAACAAAAGTGCTGACCTCAAAGGTTTCTGAGAAGGATTAACTGAGATGCTGCTTATAAAGTGTCACAGTCCCTGTACCAAAGAAACATTGGCTGTTGTAGTTCATGATGATGATGATGATGATGATGGTGATGATGATGAAGCTCCCGAGAAGTTGATCGGAGCCTCTCCTCTGGGACCTTCCAGTTCAACTCTGTATTAGAGCACCATCTCCCCCAGGATCCTGCAGGGTCCCTGAGGCTACAGCCCAAGCCTGATTTGACTTCCCATCATCTACAGCCTTCACGGTTTTCCTAACCTAACAACACAGGCTCCTTGGAAATATACCCTGAATGTACAAGGTGACAACTATGATAGCAGACAACAAAAAGTGTCCTAAAAAAGCAATAAGCAATACTGATTGAGTTGTCCTACACCAAAAAGAAGGTTTTCAAAGATGCTCTGATAAGCTCCACGCGCTGAGCAAGGAGCCATGACCTCTTTTGAAAAAGGAAGCAGCTTCCCTAAAGGCAGCTGACTGCCTGGGAATTTCCAGGAAATGTTAAGTCAAGCTTCAGTGCATCTGAGAAGAATTCCCAGCCAGCCTTTCCAGTCAACAGGAACTCTTAGAATCGAACAGTCCCAATCACACCTAACTTTCATGTTCACAGACATGGTCACTTGAGCTTATGGTGTTGCAGAGAAAATGCAAGTTAGGCTGCTTCCTGGTGGCATTATTACCATTTACTCTGCACTTACCTCAACCCCCTAATCATTATTCTGTTAATTTTCTTGTTACATTTGACCAATTGGTTCCTGTAACACGCCCACACACACAGGACTCTAGAGCACTAATTACCCAATAAAGAAACACCTGGGTCAATACCAGCTGCCTGCAAAAATCACCTTGGCTAGGAAGTTAGTTCACCTTTAGATTAAAACATTACAACCCAAAATAAAAGAGACTCCAGGATTTCGTTTTCCTATTAAATAATGAAATTTGAGCTTTCAAAGGAGATCAAGGCATTTTAAATATCAGACAAAATATATGTTCTAGGAAACACTCTTCTACTAACATCTGGAGGTTTTAAAGGATCAAAAGCAGACAAATGATATATTAAACTCTTAAAACTTAGAAGAACAAATCTAATTTATGCGATGACAAAGTATTTTTCATCTTTGTGTTGCAGGTATTATAAATGCATCCACTGCCTTTCTTGTGTTATTATGGAACGGCTCTAAATCTTGTGACCAAATGAATGAAATTCATCAAATACTATTAGCGAAATAAAAGGCTGAACTTATTTCATTAGGCCATCAGAGGGTATGAATCAGTATGTGTGGCTGAATATGCTTCTGTTCTCAGAGAAGCACAGCACTGAATAACTCCCCCACTGCCTCACCCCTACCTCCGCAAACATGCAAATTGCTCCATCCTATTTGTGTCTGCAGCCAGCATTTGTATCTAGACTTCAAAACAATCCATTGTTCATAAATCTAGGACACAGCCACAAATTTCTCACAATATTCCATATGAACATTCATCTCCAAATTGTGTCTTACAGCACATTAATTATAAAACCTCATGAAAAGTGGGGGTAAGGGATAAATAGAAGCTCCCCCCCCATTAAAGCTATTAAAGCCACTGAGTAAACTCATTAGGCACATACTGATTTCTTTATTTCTAGTATTTATAGAGGATTTGAGTTATAGCAGAAATGGAAAAAGTCTGATTTTAATTCTCAGATGCTAGTAATGCCCTATTCATAACCACCCTAATTTTTTAATTCCCCTGAGATTTACAAAACTTTAGTTTGTTTTCCAGCAGAAAAATAATTATTAAAAAGCAACTATAACAATACTTTTTAATGCTCATGTGATGTTATAGGCATTTCAAAGAGTTTGCAGACATAAAGATCTTTCTAATCATCATTAATTAACAAAATTTTGTCTATAAAATCAGAGAGATTCTTTTCAAAATGGAAAAATGTTCCTTGTGTGCTCTATGAAAGCTCTGGAACAGTTCCCAGAGAGGCATAAGACACAATGGTGGGTCAACAGGAATGACCTTCAAGATATGCTATGAGGCTGCCCATCCAAAAGTTACATTATTGTTCCATAACAAAGGGAAGCTTAAATATTTCCTCCGCTCTAGAAAGGTCTGATGGCAATTTTCCAGGGGTTAATTAGCATCAGTAAGGAATCCCAGACACTCTGCCCCCAACCTGCAGGGCAGCCTCTTGGCTGAGAGCTGAGCTCCAGAGCCGGCTGCTTGGGTCTGGCACTGCTGGTCACTAGCTGTGTGACTTCGGGCAAGTTTCCTCGTTTCTCTTAGAGGAATGCAGTTCTGCACCTGCAAACTGTGTACAATAATGACGTCTTCCTCACTGGGAGGCTGGGTGGAACTAAATAAGATAATCTTACCCTAAGCTCTCAGCAACATGCCTGGCACATAGGACATGCAGTGTGCAAGGCAGCAATTGCCCTGCGGCAGGGGGAAAAGGTAAAAATAATCCCAATATCTCCACCAACCATTTGGGTGCTTGCCCATTTATTCTAGAAGGAGAGAAACACAAAACATTCTCTGGAGGTTGAAGCACAGGGTGGTCTTATCAGTGGTCAACTGACCAGCTACAACCAGAAAAGTGGTTAACAGAGCTATCTGTGGTGCCTTAGTTTGGAAAAATCAAGGCTTATCCTAAAAAGAGAAGAGAAAGACAATTCTTGTCACTGGCTTCTAGTCTTCCTTTACTGTAAATATTTGGAAACAATTCAGCATAGTCCAGATAAGTCCCTTCTCGTTCCAGAGTGTTGGGCAATTACCACTTCTCACACGACCAAGCAGCTCCCACCACGACACGGCATTGAATTTTAATTCGATGGGCCGCTCACCTTCTCCTCGCAGGCTGCCACCGTCGTTAGCAGGGGTTAGAAAAGCAAAGACGAAAACCCATTTGGTTCAGACTTGGGAGGGTGATCAAGTCAGCCATGAAATCATGGTACTTACAAACATGAGGCGGGTGGGTATGTTGTCTGATTGCACCAAAGGATTTTTATACAGCCAGATCTCTTCCGGCTGGATGACTCTCTGGAATGGATCCAAAAACTCTGTAAAACTGAAACAAAACAAAGAAAAGTGCGTGAAGGCTAAGCTTCCTGCTGCTTCTGCTCCTGGCAGTTCCCAAGGAGGCACTGGCACCCCCCGGAACCCCTGCAGGGGAGAATCTGGCCTTCTGGGGAAGGGTGAACTAGACCGCCCAGCTGATGGTTCCTGGCCAGTTCAAACTGGGGAAAGCAGAAAGAATTACATGGGAGTCCATCGGTCACGATTTGCCGGAGGGCTGAATGGACCACGCACGCAGTGCCAGCACCACAGAACCCAGCCAACTCTTCACCAACCCCGAACCCCGGACACTGGTACTGCAGAATCTCATGTAAATTTGCTGAGAACCCTTCATTGGTATACAAGTAACTTCAGCTAACCACCCTCCAAACCTCCTCTAAAGCCAGGCACAGAGGAGCACCCTGTGTGGGCCTCAGGACACATGCGCTCTGCCCCAGCTCTCCTGGCACAACTGCTCTGAGCCGCGGAACAAGCTCCTTCTCCTCGCGGGGCCACAGTGCCCTCTGACTTAGTCAGAGGCTTCAAATGGAGATGGATCAGAACCTTCTGGAGAGCACCCAATCCCAGGCCCGCAGACTCCATATGGACAGGGCCTGGTAAGGTGGATCTTAAACCCCACCCCCAGGTGGCTCTGGTGGGCCCTGAGTCCCCAGCACTGAAGTAAATGAGCTCTAAGGGTCCCACACCTTGTCTCCAAGGAGAGGAGACCCTCATTTAACTCTCCTCATTAAAACTCTTCCACCCACGGCAGGATAGGCTCTGGGGTCAGACCCAGCAGCGTTCAAATCCCAGCTCTGGCTGCGTGGCTCTTGGTGAGTCCCTTAACACTTCTGAGCCTCAGTTTCCTCATCTGTAAAATGGGCACACCTTGCAGAGTTGGAATGAAAATTAAATGAAATACATGTACCATGTCTAACAGAACATGAGCAGAAGCTAGTATTTTATTATTATCTTATCAGCCTATCCCTGCATGTTTTTACTAGCCAGTTTTCAGGCTTTTGTTTCTTTGATTTTGTAACAACATACTCCCTGCTCCCAAGTGTTTTTCAAACATTTTAAATGAAATGAAATAAAATGAATTTTTTTTGAAAGATGTTTATAAGAATATGTAACCTACTTACGATAATTAAAGCTTCCAGAATATTCCAATTACTATAGATGCGTAACAAATTACCCCAAAACGTGTTATTTTGCTCATGAATTCGTGAAACCGAGAGGAGTTTGGCTGGGCAGGCCACTTAGACTCTCTCCTGTGGGCACAGTCAATGGCTGTCAACGGACACCAGCTGTCGGCTAGGAGCTCAGCTGGAGCTGCCACCTGGAACACCTACACACGCCTCTCTGTACTCAGTCTCAGCGGAGTCAGAATTGTTCATGGCTACTGGCCTCACCCAGAGCAGGTGTCCCAAGAGAACCAGGCAGAAGCTGAGTACATTTTTCCCACCTAGCCTCGGAAGTCACATAGTGTCACTTTATGAGTTAGGAGCAATCTAAGGTCGGCCCAGATTCAATGGAGGGGAACTGACTCCATCTCTTGATTGGCTGTGGCTAGGTCTCCCTATAGAAAGCAGTTGGATAAGGGATAGGGCTGTAGTCACCTCTGAAATACATTCTGCCACCCACAGGGTTCGTTAACCCTGTGATGGTCACACAGCCAGCCCCCACTCTGAGAAACCCCAGAAGCTTCATTCCCATTTCTCCCTACACAGCGGGTCACAGGGCCGGGAACTGGGCACCCCGCTGAGCGCCTCCCTTCCTTGCTTTGTCTGTCTCCCAGCTTTTATGATCTTCATGGCAATTTTTCTAAAGCCTGGTGCACCCAGTCTTTTGTTCAGCCCCTCGCCCCACCCTGAGTAACTGCAGCCAGAACACATCCATCAAGCAAATTATACTCTCTGGGAGCAGCAGCACCAAGAAAGACAGATGTCCCTTCTCCAGCCATGCTCCAGCCACCGGCGTCTGCCTCAGAGAAGCAGCCACCAGAAGGCCAGGGTCTTAAGAAAGCAAACAGGGGCAGGGGTGAGCAGGTGGCGGAGACATCACAGGTCTTTCCAAGACAGGGCACACCCAATCCTGGACACATCCTTCTACAAGCTCTTCAGAAGTGGTTTGAAAACCAAGAAATGAGAACCCAGCTTCTAGGTAAGGAGCAAAGAGGTGTGGTCTCCAGCAGGGTGTTAGGAAAGAGGTTCTCAAACTTTAAGGTGTCCAGGAATCACTAGGGAAATTGTGACTACAGATCCAGATACGGCAGGCCCAGGAGAGGCCCAAGAGCTGGCATTTCCGGCAAGCTTCCTGGTGCTGGGACACTGCCGATCCACGGGTCAGACCTTGAGTCAAAACAGGCCAGGGTGTTACCTGGGACCTTGTTAAAAATGCAGAATCTCCAGCCCCAGCCCAGACCTAGTGAATCAGAGTCTGCATTTAACAAGATCCTCAGGCAACATCTCTACGACCATGCTGTTAGGTAGGTCACATCCATGTACAATCTAAACTCATGTCAAAAGCCCCTAAAGTCATCTCAAGCACCACTTGTGTCATGGGAGGGGAAAAATAACAAAAAACAGAAATGAAAACTCAAAGGCACGGCAATCTGGGGCTGTTCGGTGTGAAGGAAAATAGCCCTGCGGCCCTAATAACTCCTGCAAGTGCCAGCATGTTCCTGGCCAGTGTAACGACTGGTGTCCTTGAGGTTTCGAGAAAAGGCTGAAGAAAGTGCAGCAACTCTTTGACCACTGGGAGGTGTGTAAACCATTTAGTTTACTTTTATTTCCAGTAAATACAGTGCAGATAAAAACATCTTAGTGGGCCGGGCGTGGTGGCTCACGCCTGTAATCCTAGCTCTCTGGGAGGCCAAGGCGGGCGGATTGTTTGAGCTCAGGAGTTCGATACCAGCCTGAGCAAGAGCGAGACCCCGTCTCTACCAAAAATAGAAAGAAATTAATTGGACAACTAAAAATATATAGAAAAAATTAGCCGGGCATGGTGGCGCATGCCTGTAGTCCCAGCTACTCGGGAGGCTGAGGCAGTAGAATTGCTTGAGCCCAGAAGTTTGAGGTTGCTGTGAGCTAGGCTGACGCCACGGCACTCTAGCCCGGGCAACAAAGTGAGACTCTGTCTCAAAAAAAACAAAACAAAACAAAACAAAACACCTTAATGGCCAAAGGGCTCTGACAGATCCACTGACACAGGGCTCCTCTGGGATGGGGACCAGACCTGTTGCTCTCACGGCAAAGGGCCTTTCCCCGGCTCTGCAGAGCCTCCCTGGAGAACAGAGGGGCTGATATGTCCATGTACATAACTCGGGGCCCTCTGTACTCAAATTACGTGGAAAACTGCCCCATATCCATTGCATATCACAATATGCTTAAGAATGGAGTAAGACTCCTAAAAGTTCATCAGGTTTAATGACAAAAAATAAATAGAAAGGAAAAGTCCCAGGAGAGGAGGAGGCATGGAATGCTGACAGATCACAAGGTACCATTTATTAATCATTTCAAAGAGAGAATGCTATTTAATGAGACTGCATAGGTATGAAAACAATATTTTCTTTGTTGTTATCAATAAACTGATTCAGCAGCCAGTGGTCAATCTGACCTCAAAATCACTGACTTCCTTCACTCTAAATATTCAGTAAATGTTAAGTATTGCCAACATCATTCTTAAGAGGGATTCAGACCAACAATAAAATGTCTAAACTGTGTAGGTCAAATGTTTCTACATGAAAAGCACAGCATTACTACTAAAGTAAACATATTTTCTTTCATGAACATTTTATAACTGTCCATAGTCAGGTAACTTGATGTTGGATTTTTTAAAATCCAAAACATGCCTTTATTTCCTCGCCATTTGAAATGGACAATTCTCTCAATATATTTGCATCTTAATTTCTCCTTGGCAAAGTGGGGACAGTGATACATGTTTTTTCCTTAGTTTTCTCATGTTACAGTGTGAAGAACTTGGAAAACATACAAGATGAAAATTCAAAGACATAATTCTAACTTTATGCCAAGCACTTCTCTATTTAATTCATCATGTATAATGCAGATGTTTAAATCCTCCTTAGACAGGGCTCTTAATTACATATTTCATACATACACACAAAATGCACACATATAACATGCACAAACATATACACACACACACTCACACACACACCCCAGGCCTGAATTAAAGTACGAAGAAGACAAGGAAAAGCATGTGATTTTCTAAGATGCAGAGAGAATCCACTAAAATTAACTGAAATAGAAAAGAAGTATCTGAGGATCTGATGTTGACAAAGAATGAAAAACAGCACCGTTTATTGAATAAGGATTCTTTTTCCCAGTGTATGTTTTTGTCTGCTTTGTCAAAGAGTAGATGGCTACATGAGGATGGTTTTATATCTGGGTTCTCAGTTCTGTTCCATTGGTCTATGTCTCTGTTCTTGTGCCAGTACCATGCTGTTTTAGTTACTATGGCCTTGTAGTATAGCTTGGAGTCTGGTAAATTCATGCCTCCCAATTTGTTCTTTTTGCTTAAGATTGCTTTTGCTATATGGGGTCTTCTCTGGTTCCAGGGGCACACACAACACCCCTGGGGGGGTCTCCAGGCCTTTCACCAGCTTGGCATCAAATAAGAACATGGACAAGATGGGGTAGCACCTAGACTCTTGGGAGATAAACACTACACTCATATATACTCGCACACACACACACGCACACACACACCCCCACAGCCACTCCTGGTGGTTAGTCATATTTCCATAGCTCAGCTGGACTTAAGCAGCCAGGATACATATCTGGTTACACAAGAAGGATGCAGTAGGGGACATACAGTGGGCTATCACCTTTGCCAATTTTTTGTTCACTCAACAAATATTTACTGAGTATCTATGACATGCCAGATACTGTCCTATAACACCAATGAATAAAAATATGGTCCCCACTCTCATGGAGATTACATTCTAGGGAATCTGAGTCACAACCGCTTGGGGAAGGAAATGTCAAGGTT